GTAGTCATGGCTCAATGAAAAGGGTCTCGAAACGTATACGTCACAGCAAAAACTGAAGGCTGGCCTTGTTTGAATAAATTTTAAATTATAAATAAAAGAAATGCAACAAGCAAAATAAAATCGGGGGAGAAACATAAAAATTAATATGTTTTGAATTTTAAATGAATAAAGTTGATTTTTTTTTTATTTAAATAATATGTAGGAATGTAGAAATTTAAAAAAAACTTGGACTGTTATTTACTTTACACACCGTACCTTCAAGATATTTTTCGTAATTTGTTTAAATGAGTCTTATTTGTGTATTATATAAGAATAAGTAAATTACAGTTAAATATTGATTTGAATCAGTTATTAAATATGCAAAAGGGTGCTCACAATTCTCGAAAAGTTTATATTTTATTTAGTAATATATTAACAAATGCATACTTATATTTTAAAACCTTTCATCACAACTGTAAAATAGATCTAGCAGAATCTTGTTTTGTGTCTTAACGTCATATTCCCGGACTACAGCAGCATGGACAGTTAGTTTAACTCGTCTTCCCTAGACAACTTTGAGGGCACCATAATGAGCAATAGATGTTTCAGCGTGAAAGCATTGTTAGTTATATCAGCATGATTCCTCTCAACCTACCCTAATCTAAATACTAAATGCTAAATTTCTGTCGTATAGTTGGTACAGAGGGCATTACAGAAAGAAGTAAATATATGGATAAATTTTTGAAAAGGAAACAAAAGTCATTCTTATAAAAAAAGTAGAAAAAACTATATAATCTGATTATGTGAAATATATCAGTACATGAAGTAATAGTACGATATTTATATATTTTACGATATTTATCAATTATATGAATTTGTTAAATCTTTTATAGAGTATAATTTAATAAAATACAAAGTAGCTTAATGCTATATATTCTTTCTTTCTCGACATAATATTTATATTATAAGGGTCTGTATTAAATAATTAAACTGACGTTTTAGGAGAGATTGACTATTTTTTTTACAAAATGGAATTTTTAATATTACAAGTTATTAATCCATATAGGAATCATGTTATATATATATAGAGATGTATATAAATATAGATAGATATATATAGTTATATATATAGATACATATAGATAGATATATATAGATATATAAAAATAGATATATTAGATATATAGATATATATTAATATAGGAATCATGTTACATATATATAGATAATGTATACAATTATAAATATACTAATCATACATATAGAAACATAATAGATATATATTTGGATATATATAGATATATATTTGGATATATATAGTTATATATTTGGATATATATAGATATATATTTGGATATAATTTTAATTAAGACAGATAACTTAATAGTTATTGTCTCAAACTACCTAATTAATCTATCTATCTATTTTATGTACTCTGTATTAGGATCATTGTGTTATAAAAGCATATCTGTAATAATAATAAATTAATAAACTCGTACTTACTACTTACTATATTTGGATATATCTAGATATATATTTGGATATATATAGATATATATAGATATATATGGATATAAATAGATATATATGGATATTTATAGATATATATGGATATATATAGATAAATATGGATATATATAGATACATATGGATATATATAGATATATATAGATATAGAGATGCTTACAATTGAACTTATTTTTTGTCATTTTATAACTTTGGTTAATACAACATATGGACACCTCCTTCTAATCGATTAGAATCAAAAATTTCAGTGCAATTGCATGAATTTTATATACTGGTTGTGTTGTAATGTAGGAAATTAAAGTGGAAACTACCTAATTCAACCTAATAAAATTTTAATCAAAAGATTATAAATTCAACTTTTGTTTTCAAACAATGGGAAGCAAAGTAAGAGAAATGAACAAAAGGCTGTAAACTGAAGATATCTTCCGGTTGTGAGAGAAAAACTTTCAGTTTTAATAATAAAAGATTTTAACAAATAAGTGAATGAATATAAAAATGAAAGAATAATTTCATTTTATAAGTACACCTGGAGCCGGTATCGAAGCTTTATTTTTATACTATTAAGTTATATTTAATTTATAAATAATGAAAAAAAAATAAAAGTGGGTGGGGGAAAGTAACGTACAATAATTTAATATATGCAGAGATGACGATGACTGATTTTTAGTAACCGTGCTTGTATCTTCCATTAGTTTTCGTATCTGTGACTGTTACAAACGCAGTTTAAGCGTCAAGCCGCGTGCTAAGCGCATGAATTTGTATGTAAAAGACACACTTGCGCTGTAATCAAAACAATAAAATACAAAACAGCTAAACTAATATACTAGTATATAAAAAAAAAGATATTAAAAAGTATGTAAACGATTTTTTTTCTATAGATACTAAACAGAAAAAACTGTTCAGCACTAAATGCAGTAGTAGCTATAGCACAAGAAAACAAAACGCAAATACTGAACATAAATACAAGACGTAATAAACAATATCTCAAAGATTCGTCATCATTACCGCTCATTCCTCGTGACTATGAATTTTAAATGAAATATATTCCAAAGTCAGGTTTACATGATCTCAAGAAACGTTGAATACTTTTTGTTCATTCGTTTTTTGAACTTTTTATTTTCTATTTTTATGAAAAGTATTTATTATTAACACTATTTTTTGCTTTTTTTTTGTTTTTTAATTTTGCTTATGTAATTTTAGTTGTTGTTTCAGTTCATAGTCAATTGAAAAAATTTTATAAAATTTGTTTTGTTTTCATATTTCAGTTAAAAAATTTTTTGCATTTTATATTATTTTAAATATTTCATACTATATAGAAAGATAACAAGTAAAATTTACAAAGAAAATAATTATTTCAATTATCATTGAGATGCATTACGTCGCAAATATCTAGCGTAATATTAGATAATTTTATTACTTGCAATTAACTCAACATAAAAGTATTTAAATAAAAACCCAATAAAATTTAGTAACTGTTGGAGCTAGACCAACACGCAAACTGTCAATAGATAGTGCAGGCAACTAAATATAACTCACAAAACAGTTTGGAATTATTTAAAAGGAAGAAGGCTATGAAACAACGCTAGACGTTTGGATACCTTATGCAATAAACCAAATTACCATTAGTTAAACCTGGTTAAACGAAACGAAAACAAACCCCTTTTTGTAGTGAATTATCACAAGAAATGAAAAATATATTGAATACAATAATATACAACGCAATGATTAGTCCAAAGCCGCTGATCCTCCACAAAAGATTTCAAAGCCTGGATTAATACCGGACAATTCCACACAATTCTACAGCTTTAACCAAACAATTAAGAAAAAGTAAGCACAATTGACTAACAGAAAAATAGTTATATGCCATTATTATAATGCCAGGCCACACATATATTTAATGACTTCAAACAAATTGACCCAACTTGGTTATGACATTTTGGTGCACCCACATTGTAGCACAGACCTTATAATATCTAACTACCATTTGTTTTAGTCTCTGTAGAACCCTTTGTTCAGAAGCCTTCAATAATGATAGGCCCAGAACCATTTTGCGGACTAGGCAAAGGAACTTTACTCTTCTTATAAATGGTGCAGTGGAAAACGAAAGAGAAGGGAATGAAAAGAAGGGGTACCAAGACTAACACAATCTAAAATGCTTTCAGTCATAAAAAGCTGAAACCCAAAACGCTTCAGGGATTGCAGAGAACAAAAAAGAATAACCTAAAAATTATTACGAGATTACTAACCAGTCACTG